CTGCTGCCACCCGCCCCAGCAGGGCCCCCTCTGCGGTCACCTCCCAGCAGCCCCTCACCCCATGTCTGTCTCCACATGAACTCCAGGTTCTGAGTGGCAGCAAAGTGCTTCTTGATGGCGTAGTGCACTCGCTGGATGAGCATGCCCGTCAGGTTGGAGCGCTTCAGCAGGTAGGGCATGGTGGAGCTGTACCCAAAGGGGTCGACAGCCCAGCCCGACCGGGGCGTCACACCTGGGGGCGCAGAGAGCCGTCAGCCCCGCACTGGGCCCAGCAGCACCTCCCATGAGGAGGCTGCTGCCAGGGATGGGGATGCCCACTGACGCATCAAGCAGGCCCCTAGCCAGCGCTCTGCCTCCGCTGCCCGGCATCCCGCCCAGCTCTCACCGATGTTCTTCTCCAGCCACTGGTGCCCCTCGATCAGCTGGTCGATCATGGCAAAGTAGTGGGAATTGGCCTCGTCGGGCATCACCCAGCCACCCGTCACCATCTCCAGCTGCCCGTTGCCAACCAGCCTGCAAGGGGGAGACACAAGATGTGACAAGCTCCGGGTAGAGCCCTGCGGTGAGCAGTGTGACCATGGCAGAGCCTCCCCCTGCCTTGGAGACACCTGGGTCCCACCACAGCCTCCGCAACCACTGGCTGCCCTGCCCCACTGCCCACGCTGTCCCCACGCAGACAGACATCCCTCCACAGCACCATGCTGGCCAAGGCCCCAACCAGAGCCCATCCCCACACAGGTCAATGCCCGTTGCTGTATCCTGCGGCCCACGTTCCCTCTGTCCTCCACCTCCAGCCCTCCCGGAGCAGGGGGGCTGACAAGGGGGCCCTCTCCCACCACAATATCCTGCTCTCCAGGTCTCCCACCCCCCTGAGGGTGCCCTGGCCCTTGCAAGATGATGGCACTGCTCAGGCTTTGTGGCAGTGCTCGCATGCTCGGGGTTACAGGGACGAGAGGGAGTTTCCCAGCCCTGCGAGCACGGGGAGCGGCGCAAGGCGAGACCTGCCTCCCCCAGGCCCTCAGGCCCCCGCTGCGGAGGCTCTGGTGCTGGCAGCACGCTGGTTCTCACTCCATACTGCTGTGGTTTTGACGTCTCGCGGCACTGAGAATTTGTTGGCAGTGCCAGGGCACCCCACAGTGACCAGTACGGAGCCCACGGCTGCTGCACTGCAGCCAGGGCAGCCTTCGTCTCCCCAGGGCCCTTCCCTCACACACTCCGTGCTCACAGCCAGGGCCTCCTGCAGAACCCTGCCTTGGTGTAGGGATTGTGCCAGGCAGCAGGGCCAGGCGAGTGGCCCTACCTCCGCACCGCAGCCCGCTTCTGGGCACTGATGTTGTCCCACCACTTGGAAAAGAAGGAGATCTCAGACCAGATGAAGCGCCGGCGCGGATCCTCCTGCATCTTCAGCACCATGCTGTTAAGGATGTGCTGTGTCTGGTCATAGTAGTACTTGTCAAAAGTCTTGATCCAGCCTGCCAGCATGGGGAGGGGGGTCACTGCGTGAGGCCCAGTCCTTCCCCACCAGCCGTGTGGGGCAGCAGGGGCTGGGCTGGACCCTCCCCTCCACCTTCGCCTGCTGCTCACCCGGGTCGTTGTGGGAGTGTGGCACCACAAACACCTGCAGGGGCTCAGCGTCCCACTCATTGGGCTCATAGGTGATATCAAAGCCCTGCTTCCACACGCCACCATCCTGGTTGTCAAAGGGCAGCAGGGAGTACACAGCCAGCATCTGCCGGGTGGGAGACAGGGCTCAGGGCAGACACGGATCGAGAGACCCCCAACGGAGTAGTGCCAGGACCCCAGGGACACCCCGGTATGGACCCTCTCGCGCTAGCAGAGACGGGCCTTAAGGTGTCTGGCTGAGATGCTGGCCTCTCACCTGCAGGTCTGGGCTCTGGCCCTTGCCCCCCAGGGCGAACTGGCAGTCCTGTGGGGAGACAGAGAGGAAACTCGGGCGATTCTCAGGGGGCAGCACCCAGGCGCCATTGGGCGTGTGTGGGGCGAGCGCCGG